AGGTTTGAGTCCCGCGAAAAAAATGGTTGCATGGACATTTTTGTGATTTTCCGCATATGCAACATGAACGCCAGCCAGTTTACCTTAAGAAGTCCTCCACGAAGGCATCCACCCCCTTAGGCAGGTAGCCCTCGAGGCTTTGCCGTAGTCACATAAACCAAAACTATATGCCTAAAGGTAGGGATGCCTTCGTTGATGACTTTCTTAGTGAAACTGGCTCGTATTCATGTAACATATGAGAAAACTTCCTGGTCAAACTACCAGTGTTTAGCAGTTTTACTGCTCGTCCGTTGATGGGCACGCACATTTAGAAAGGTGGAGGAAAAATGCATGTGAACTTTGTCTTTCAAAACTGTTACCTACTTTCATTTCTGCAGCTGTGTACAGTTTTGAAAGTTAAACATGTTAAAGCAGTTAACCCTTTTCTGTTTTTAGCGTTTTATAACCATCTAGACATGGTATAAGTTCTTTGTTTTCATCGTGAGTTTCATTCGTATATCATTTATATGGCACTATGGCACATTTTATACGTAAAAATTTGAATACGAGACTGTATTATTAATGCTTATCTGTCCGCATGAATTAAATGACTAATAAATAGTATATGTAATGTGGTTTTACAGTAGGGAAACTTATAAAATGATTGCTACTTAGCACTGTTTGGAAATAAAAATAAATAAATAAATAAATAAATAAATAAAAAATAAAAAAAGCTTTTCTTGTCTTAAGTTTTTTTTATAAGGCCAAAATAATTATATATTTTCTCAAAACTGTGACAGGTGTCAAGATTTTGGAAACACCGCCCAAAGTCGTGTTTTTTTAGTCTGAAATTTTCCGTCGTAATAGCGGATATGACTGTTAAGTGTGCAGGAAGTCGTAACATTTCCTATCTTTGCCTTTTATTGAAAACTGTGGCACAATATCTCGAGGGCTAAAATTTTGCAGTTGAGTTGGTAAAAAAGTAAAATGTTTTATCAAAGAAAGTTAAGAGTTTACTTTTTAAGACCTTTTTTAAAAGATGGTTCATTATTTTTCAGTTCGTTTTTTTTTGGCATTTTAATAGATTTAATACGTGTATTAATTTATATTTAAATAAGTTTCTTGTCAGAAATAAGACCATATGTTGGTTTAGATGGATTGAAAAACTATAAAACTGTTATTGAAGTACCGGGTGGCCATAATTAAACTGACAGTGCTCACAGTGTTCTGTAGCGCGATCTATTTGCGAGAATGACGCCACATTTTGTAGGAAGATTAAACAAGACGGGGGACGAAGGTTTCCGCGAAAAAAAAAAATTAGTTCCAAAAGTCACCGCTAGGGGAATATTTGGCGCTGTGTAATAGAAAATACAGTGTTAACAAATTAATACAATAACAAATTAATAACAAATTAATACGGAATAAAATTTATCGTAGGTCCATTCTTCTATGACAACATTACCCCGACAGGACCGGAAACCTGTTCTGTTACCGGAGAGAAATATCGCCACATGTTGAACAGCTTTGTCACTCCGGCACTTCAGCAAAGACAATGCATGGGGGAAATCATTTTCATGCAAGATGGAGCCCCTCCACACGTTGTACCTGCTGTACGGATGCAACAAATGCTACGACAGAAATTCACAACAGAAAGAGTCATTAGCTGCTATTTTGCAACTGCATGGCCACCTCGGTCGCCTGATTTTACCCCATGCGACTTCTGGCTATGGGGTTACCTTAAGTCCAAGGTCTATCAAGGAGTGGTCCAGGACCTGGCCTTGAAGGATAACATATCACAGACTGTACGGGAGATTTCTGCAGACATGTTACTTTCTGCTGTTGTGCATACTGTGCACAGAATGCAATATGTGGTCCAAAACAACGGCACTCACATTGAACCTCATTTGAATGCAAAATAAAAGGTAATTTCCGTATTGATTTGCATTTGTTAACACTCTATTTTCTATTACACAGCGCCAAATATTCCCCTAGCGGTGACTTTTGGAATTAATTTTTTTTCGCGGAATCCTTCGTGCCCCGTCTTGTTTAATCTTCATACAAAATGTGGCGTCATTCTCGAAAATAGATCGCGCTACAGAACACTGTGAGCACTGTCAGTTTAATTATGGCCAACCGTTATGTTTTTAAAGCAAAAAAGAAAATTGATTCAAGCTATTTTTACTGATATATTATGAATTAACATAGTTGAACATGTTGTTATTACTGATCAAATAGGGCAAAGATTTTATTGCGAGGTAAGTAAAAATTCATAGGGGATTTGCGAGGTAAGTAATAGAAATTCGCTACTTGATGTTTGTATGCATATTAAGAAAATTTTCCAACTTCCGCTCATATACAATAAAACTTTTAAGTTAAAATCTTTCTGAGAGATTTTTACTGATTGTAGATGGCTTTATGGAAGGGAATCTGAACTTTAGACAAAGTATAATTTAATTTTCCTTCACTTCTCACCAGAAGATAATTTAAACTAGGCGTGTTAAACACATGAAAGATCAGTAATATACGTTGTATACGTTGCCGATGAGCTCAAGTATTAGCTGCAATGCATTTTGAATTCTTACTCTGTAAACAAACACCTGTAGTCATACTAAATAACATATAACAAAAGAGACTGCTGTGTCAGAATTTACATCTGTGTTTGGGATTGCTTAAAAAGGCAGGCAGAATTCTTTACGCTGACAAACGGAAACATGGAAGGTCTGGAAACGATATCCTGGACGAGAGCCATCGCCATATTTATTGAAAGTTACCCATGATCCTTCAGAAGCAGAACTTTCGTCAGAAATAAATTTATACAATCCACTTAAACGTCCGTTTTATATGATGATAAGTCTAAGCCCATACCAATCTCTGATAATGGTGCAATATCTGTTAGAGTCGACCATTGACTTTCGTAAATAAATTTATGCAATCCACTAAGTCAAACGTTCATTTTACATGATAATACGTCTAGCCCATACCGATCTCTATTAATGGTACAATATCTGTAACAGTCAACCATTTTTTACAGGGATTGACTAGCATGATTTTTAGAATTAATTCCATTTACCAGTCGACCATTGTTCACAGGAATTGACTAGCTTGTTTTTTGGAATTAATTTTATTTACAAATCCTTATCACTTCTATCGACGCGCGCGGCTAGGCGGGACATTTCCGAGAAATGAGATTCTAGTAGCACTGATTTAAACGGGAGGCTTCCGAGAAATGTTTCGTCTGGCTAAGCGCAACATGTCCTGGCTATGAGTAACATTTTGAAATCTTCCCGAAAATGTTCCGTCTGGAGACGTGCTCCGCGTACGTTCAACCAATCAGACGAAAGTTCTGCTTCTGAAGGATCACGCGATGGCGATGGCTCTCGTTGTGAAATCATGGACGGTGGAAATAGATGCTGATTTTACTTGAAGAAATACGGAAAAAGCCGTATATATAGCTTCTTTGTTGTAGTATAACTGTCCAAGTCATTTTAAAATGTTTATATATTCATTAAATTTATAATCGTGGAAATTTCAGAATAGACAATATTTTATGACGTGCTATTTCTGATGATTTTTTTACATATTATTCGTCACCAAAAGTTCGCCAAATTTGTCGCATTTCATGCTGATCGTGTGAAAAGAATGTTATTGTTATATAATAGAATTTTTTTATTAAGCGTAAGGGGAATAATTTTTTAAAATAGGTTTGTATATGCGCGACTTTACTTTTCACCAGAAGTAAAGTTTTGTTAAAATCAACGATTATGTATATTTATTAAAACATAGATTATCAGCGTTTCCCAACCTTTTTTGGCCAAGGCACACTTGTCGCGGGGAAAAAAATCACAAGGCACACCACCATTAGAAAATGTTAAAAAATTAACTCTGTGCCTATATTGACTATAATAAAGTAATTCTCTTGAATAGGAATCAAATAAGCACAAATAAGTAATTATTTTATAATTACTTTATTATGAAATATTAAGTAAACAGAATAGTGAAAAATTATAAATACTTTCAGTGCGAAACCTGGGCCTGTTTGGCTGAACACAAAGCTGATATTCTGGCTGGAATCGAAGAAAGACACATACGTAGCTCTTCGTCAACAGTTCTCAGTCTCTCTCTGTATTTGGTTTTCATAGCAGTCATGCTTGAAAAGCTAATCTCACACAGATATGTAGTGGAAAAAGGGAGCAATGTCAAAATAGCTTTGTTTGTAGAAGGGGGAACTCCTTGGCAGTATCCAACCAAAAACTGTCAAAAGGTAGATCAGCAAATCTTAGCTTGCAACCACGATTTTGTCTCAGTTCAATTAGTTCCTCCTGCTCCTGTAAAGTCATTTCCTTTCCAAAAACGGATGCTGAGCTATAAGGGTCCCTAACCCAGTCAAGGCATTCAGTGGAGACTGAAGAGAAATAAAAATGACAACTTCTCCTCAAGAGTTTTTAAATGCTTAACTATTATCTCACACAGTGCAGCAGTGTGAACACCTTGCCATTGCATGGTGAGTGTGAACATTTCAAGATTGCCACTTCCACGTGTTTGATGCCAGAGTTGCACCTTTGAACGGAATCCATTTATTTTATCTGTACTTGTAAGCAGGTTTTCATTTCGGCCTTGCATTCGGGTGTTCCAATTCATTCAGATGATGAAAATATATCTGCCAGGTATGCCAGCCTTGCACACCACTCATCACTTGCAAGCTGCTTTGCGTAATCTGACCCCTCATTGTCAGAAACACTTAAGTTCCTCCCGCAGCTCATACACACGAACCAAGACCTTGCCACGCGACAACCACCGGGACCTCCGTATGAAACAGCAAGGTTTTATGCTTTGCTCCCATCTCCTCACACAAAGCTGCAAATATGCGACTTTTCATGGGTCGTGACTTTACAATGTTTACCATGCGCAAAACATCATCCAACACATGAACTAAGGTGATGGTAAAGTCTTGGCTACGAGGGCCTCGCGGTGTAAAAAACAATGCGTAATAATCACATCTGGATTTCTTTCCTTCACTCTGCTTACAAAGCCTTTGGTGCGCCCCCGACCATGGCTGCAGCTCCATCGGTTGCAGACACATGTGCAGTTTTCCCACTTAAGTCCTCCTTGTTCAAGGTATTCTGATGTGACCCGAAAAATTTCTTCTCCTGTTGTTTTTTCTGGCAATACCTTGAAAAAAAGAAGTTTTCTCTAATTGCATCACCATCAACAAAACGCACATTAGCTAAGAGTTGAGCATGTCCACTGATATCAGTAGACTCGTCAAGTTGCAATGCAAATTTCTCACTGATACGGATCTTTTCCAAAACCACACTTTCGATGTCTGCAGACATGTCATTAATACGTCTGGAAATTGTGTTGTTTGAGAGAGAGACTTTGGCTATTTCCTTTGCTGCTTCAGGTCCGAGCATCTCTTCTACAATAGCTTTGCAGGCAGGAAGTATTAATGTCTCTGCCACAGTGTGCGACTTTTTTGTCTTGGCTATAAGTTCAGCAACTTGATAGCTAGCTTTAAGAGCTCTTTCATTTACCTTTGTTGTTTTTCTCATAAAAGTTGCCTGTTTCTCCATGTTGTCACGCAGGCGAACAAAATAGTCCACATTCTTGTTCTGAAGCAAAGGATGTTTCGTTTGGAGATGGCGTTTAAGTTTGCTTGGGACCATAGCACTGTTAGCTAGCTTTTCACCACACACCACGCACAGTGGAGTTGGTTTGTGTTCATCTCCAGTGAAAGTAAATCTAACTGAAGTATAGCTTTCGCTATATTGCCTTGCGCCAGAGAATTTAACCATCTTTGCTTTCTTTTGACCCCCACTCATACTCGGGCTCTCATCTGGCTCCAGATTTTGTTCAGAGTCAGTTCTTCCTTTTCAAAAACTTGTCCATCACTGCAGTATCAGTGTCTCTCTCCTCACAGCAGCCGTTGTCTCTCTGACACTGTGTGAGGCGTCTGCCTACGTCTCATGGGGGCGGGGACACGGCGGACACTTGTCAAGATTGGCAGGGGGAGGAGTTATAGCACTGCACAGCGCCGTGACCACCTATGGCGGGGGGAGTGACGGGAGGAGTTATAGCGGGCGAACAGCACCGTGACACCCAGATCCGGCGGCACACCACGGTGCTTCAGACGGCACACTGGTGTGCCGCGGAACAGCGGTTGGGAACCGCTGATTTAATAATGAGGCTACACATTAAATTTTTATGCTATTATCTTCATTTTCATTAATGAAATGCTTTTTAGATTATAAACACATTAAGAACTATATTTTTATTATAAATGCTACATATTGAAACATGGAAATTTATGAATTTATTATTATGAATGATGAAAAACATTTGTATATACATTCATTAATAAAAATCTTATTCATTACATTAATAATAAACATACATCAAGAACTTCTAAACCATCGCATCTCTCTCCTTATGTGTAGGTAAATATATGACTTACATATACGCATGACTTACTTTATTCTGGTCACTAACTACTAAAGAGTTTTCGCCAGTAGATCGCATTAAAGTGCACTAGGCAAAGATATTTCCAAGTAAATGGTACTAGGAAATATATGATTTATTAGATGTGTGTGTATATATATATATATAAATATGTAATGATATTTTAAAATCAATTGATTAAATTAAATTCTAATCATATTGCTTAATAATGTGTTGGCGATTCTCTACCTAAATTGCATTCCTGTTCCTAAATTTTGGCGAAATCCTTTGTTTATTATAAATTATATTAACCTGTTGGCGCTCGCCAAATCGCCAAACTCATAAATCTGTCATAAAGTCCTTAAGAGCACTCCTGTTGAGAAGATAGCTTCACTTCGTGATTTCAGTCAACATCGCTGATTGGATGAGCACCATGACGCACACATATATATAAATAGGGCTTCTCCTCGAGGTACAGGAGGAACGCTTGTGAGATGGATGCTAAAATAAACGTATCACTTTATATTCCAAAATTTGTCTCATTCCTGTTGACCCGGCTGCACAACACAAATAATGTATGAGATTCTACATTTCATATGTATACGTATATATAATTTTTGCAGCTCAATGCGCAAAACGTTCTTGACCACAAAGGTATTTTTTTTTTTAGTTTGTTCTCCTTTCTTTAATTATATATATATTTGTAATAATAAAATTACATAGTGAAGAATACACTTAAAATTCTAATTGTATGTTCTCTTCATTTTTAATGGCGACGTTCTCTTATTTGAAAATACGTGGAATTAAATCCACAGCCCCCGTAGTCAAGTTGTTTTTCCCGCCTTTTCTACACGTACAGTTTTAGAATGTTCTCGAAAATTTTAAAGCGAACTGGATTGGCTGACAAAGCTGACGTCATTTCTTGGAAGCTCCGCCTTTCCAGAGGCTATAAAAAGACTCGCAAAAGGAATATCGGGCTTTTTCTTTAATGTAACAATGCAGTAAACTTCATACAAAAAGTTATTAGTAATTCTGTTTTATTTACTCCGGAGATATGATTTTTGAAATTGCTATTTTCTCCTGAAATATAATAAATGGATCCTGTTTTTTTTAAACTATCGTCTGATAATTTAAGCTACGACTACATTTGATGATTCTTCAACAATCTATTTATTCCTGACAAAAGCTGGTACATCACATATATATATGTATGTATGTATGAATGCAAAAATGAACATTGCCAAAAAGTTTGTTTGAAGTTACTTCTAATTCATATAACGATTATGTAATTGTATATATGTATGAATGCAAAAATGAACACTGCCGAAAAGTTTTTTTGAAGTTATTTCTAATTCATATAGCGATTATGTAATTGTCAGCAACTGTAGTCATCAGTTCTTTCCACATTATCATGGATATGGAATACACAGTTGAAAAATAATTGAAGTGCATTTTGTACATTAGGCTATCATTAAAATTCATCCACTTACACACAATCTTTGCATTTGTAACTATACTTTGAAATTTAAACAAAAAAATTGAGCAAGTAGCCTTTATGAAATATTTATCATTTTTGGGATAAAATAAAAATTTTTGACTCATCACAAACAAATATTAGTAAATGGCGTTATATCATGTACATAAAAATTATTAAATAAGTATATGGATACAAAAATAACTATTTACAATAATAAAATCAAACATATACAACAGATCATTACAAAGAATAGGACTTCTCTTTGCACGTTTTTTCTTTTCAGCTTTTAGAATCTCCAAGTGATTTACTTAATAGCCATTACCTTTCTATTATTTTCCATAACTAACAATAAAGTTTAAAACGAAAAGAGTGTGAGCGACACAAAATACAACACGGAAAAGCAATCGTCACATGAAAGGAAACGTCACTTTCGCCAATCTGAACGATAACTGATTCTTGTTTGGCTTCCAGCCTGTTTACCAAGTGAAGATGGTAACCCGATTTCGCGGAAGCTCACTTCCCAGAATTGTTCCTCCATACGTTTTGTTCCGGCAACAAATATTGTATGTGATAACAGCATAAGAGTCGACCATTGTTCACAGGAATTGACTAGCCTGATTTTTGGAATTAATTCCATTTACAATACCTGTTAGAGTCGACCATTGCTCTCAGGAATTGACTATCCTGATTTTTGGAATTAATTTTATTTATAATATCTGTAAGAGTTGACCATTGTTTACAGGGACTGACTAGCTTGATTTTTAGAATTCATTCTATTGTATCCTCTAAGTAACATACATGGATACAAGCGAAGAGCGTACATCTGCTTAAAGTAGTACTGTTCAGTACTAAATACTTAGCTAATTCAAGTTATGATAAATAATAAGGAACTTCACTATTAGTATTACTGTAAGCGCTGGTTATTCCGCATTCCAATAAATAGATTATAGTACTTCAGTTTGGGCCGAAATTTACGTTTTAGAGAAAAATGATGTTGGTATAAAATAATTACTGTACATGACCATTTTGAAACTCAGTTTAATTTATATTTTGGGCAATTTTCATCCAAATTCTTTGTGCAGTCTTTTAATAAGCTTCGTAAAATAACACGAAAGTTTATGCGAATGACAGTTTGAGAAACTAGTCTGAAGCTGATAGATGAACAAATAAATTTCAATTGCCGATTAAACTTTACGTAACTGCAACCACTTATTTGAAATATCTTACCACATTTCTTTTTAATAGAACTGTCAAACATTAGTGCTATTTTTATGTGAAAGATTTATAACGAATGAAAAATAGCTTTGAAAACATACGCAACCTGAAAAATACCTCAGACATTTCTTCCGAAAATTCCTCGGAATAAATTCTTTTTCTGAACCCTCTGAAACTTCATCGGATTACGAAAGCTGTCTGGAAGGTAATTCCACTAAATAATTGCTTATCTATCAGATATTAAAAGTTATTTAAGATAAAAAAAACAGCAACGACAAACAAATAAGTCTTTTCAGTAATTGCATTTTAAGCCGCTGGCTCCCGCTTTCGCTTTGGATTTCAACTTTTATGTTTGTGTGTTTTATTCCATTAAAGGTGTCAGGCAAAACGTCACTTCTTTGGATTCCCGTTTTAATTTGGCTCTCATTTTGAAGACAAAAATTTTTAAACAAAAAAATAATGAAGGTAAGGATAGAAAGAAAGGAAATGACTAAGGTATTTCGTTTCTCGGAGGATAAGTAAATGAAAGGCTTAAGTATTTCCCATTTTCTCAAGCTATCGCAAGCATGCAAGAAGTTTGCGAAGTTAAATCCTTGCGTTTGGGGAATAACTTTTTTTTTTTTTCATTTTTAAAAAATTTTCTCACTTTCTGTTGTATGGTTTATACATTCTGATGATTTCTTTTTCTTATTTTAAGGTGCTTTGTTTTGAATGATGTGTGGAAATTTATTATGTGGTTTTGCAATTAATGAACTCGAGATTTGACTCATTTTCCAATAAGCAGAAATAGGTGTAGATTAGAAATTCAAGAGAGAGAATTTTGTAGATTTTTTAAGCTTTGTGAATACGAATTCAAAATATGGAAATTAGTAAATAAGTTGTGAGGATTTATCTATTTATTTTTAACTAATAGTTAATTTTAAATACTTTTATGTCACTCCCTTTTCACCCGCACTTTTCATGCCAGAATGTAAATGAGATAGCAAGTGTTTATTCAGATTGAGGGAGAAAGAAGTGCTTGCTATTTAAGCGAAAGTTTCGCAAGTTAACTTTAGAGCGTGTTCTGCCTATTTCAGGCCACGATGTACGGTGACTTATTAGCAATTTGATTCTGTGGCGCTATGTACTTCTAACCATTAGGCTTGTCTCGCCGGTTTTCTACAAACCAGAGCCTTTCCTCCGCGTTACTTTATCCTTTGAGCCGTTAGGCTAATTTAGTACATTTGATTTTAGTTCAAGATTACGTATTTAAGTTTAGCCAGAAGTGATGGCTTGTGGTTGGGTCATTGTTTCTTCTTTGTATTCAAATAAAGTGCTCTTGTAGACTTTTCTTCTGACTTTTGTTTTGTGTCACAAGAATTTAAGATAATTCTTCAATAGGCTCTGTAGGATTATGCTTCCTAATAATACAAGCCTTTGCAAAGTAAAAATAGATAAGTAAAAATGGAAAGTACAGGAGTAGTTGAATGGGAAAACATAATCGCTGACGAAACAATAAAATGAATTTACATTTTGCACTTGCCCATATAATTGTGCATCTTATTTTATTAGTGATTAAAATTAATTAAAGAAAGTGAAATTCGTAGCCTTATGGCCCCACCAATACCCGTATCATTAAGAGCACTAAATGCTGATAGTTCGAGCTGGTTGCGTGGGGTTTTTTCATGATTTTTCCCATGTGTAGCATGAATA